ATGCCGGGGCAAGCCTGGAGGGGAGGGGGTGATGGCCGGCTTCCAGTTCCTGGAGCTGGAAGCACCAGGCGGGCAGGCAAGGGGCTGCTCCCAGGAGGGAGACGGGGGGGAGCCAGGACGGGCGGGGAGGGGAGGACTCGTCTCCTTACCACCCCCCTACAGGGGCGAGGACCGGCTGGGGTCCACCCCGAGCCGATAAACTTGACATGGCCACTCGAGCGGCCCCGAGCCACTCTCCCCCGCCGCTGCCGGGGTCCAAAGCCCCGGAGCCCTCTATCTCCCTTCTGGGGGAGCAGCCCCCTTGCCCGCCCGGTGCCCGTACTCACCAGCTCCAGGAACTGGAAGCCGACCACCACCCCGTCCTTCCCAGGCTTGCCGCCATTACAGTGGCAAGCCTGGGAGGGAGGAGGAATGCCAAGTGCTTGGGGAAGAGGCGGGGCCAGGGTGGGGATTTGGGGAGGGAGCCAATCTCTCCGCACTCCCTCCCATCCCCAGACTCCCTCCCAGAGCCTGCACCCTGCACCCCTCCTGCACCCCAGTCTCCTGCCCCAGCCCAGGGCCTGCACCCCAGACCTCCTCCCCCACCCAAACTCCCTCCCAGAGCCTTGGGCAGGTGGGGGGTGGAGTTGGGGAGGGCAGAGTTTGGGCCCACCACCAAAATTTCTACAAACCTGCCACCCCTGCCGGCAAGAGCTGGTGCGCCATATCGGGGTGGACCAGCTTCCTGAGGCAGCAATTTAAGGGCTGGAGCCCAGGGCCCTTTAAATTGCCGCCAGAGCCCCGCTGCCAGAGCCCTGGGGTAGCAGCGGCGGGGCTCGGGTGGTGATTTAAAGGGCCCAGGGCTCCTGCGCCGCTACTGCCCCGGGCCCTTTAAATCCGCCGCTGGAGCCCCACTGCCGCTACCCCAGGGCTCCGGGGACAATTTAAAGGGCCCGGGCCCTTTAAATAGCCCCCGGAGCTGCCGGAGCCCTGGGGTAGCGGCGGCAGGGCTCTGGTGGCTATTGAAAGGGTTCGGGGCTCCCGCTGCCTCTACCACCCTGGGCCCTTTAAATAGCCACTGGAGACCTGCCGCTGCTACCTCAGGGCTCCAGCAGCAGGGTTCCGGAGACGATTTAAAGGGCCCTGGAGGGTAGCGGCAGCTGGAGCCCCGGGCCCTGTTGCTGGAGCCCCCGGGCTCTGTCGGCAATTTAAAGGGCCCGGAGCTCCGCTGCGGTAGCAGCAGCTAGAGCCCCAGACCCTTTAAATCGCCCCCTTTAAATCACCCCCGAACCCCAGGGCTCCCAGACACCTCTGCAGCTTGGTGCTCAGGGGGTGATTTAAAGGGCTTGGGGCTCCCAGCTACTGTTACCACAGCCCTAGCCCCGGACCCTTTAAATCCTGATTTAAAGGGCCTGGGGATTTAAAGGCCCTGCCTCTTCCGGTGGAGGCCACGCCCCTCCTCAGGACTCCGGAGTACCGGCAAGTCCTTTAAGTTACTTTCACCCTTGGGTATTGGTTCATGTAAGTCAGTGCTGAACAAATGCCCATGACTGTAAAATGTGCTGTCTAGTCATTTCCTAGGTGCAGGATAAAGGGGTGTCATCTTTACCTTCTAATTATATCCCCAAAGTTCATTGTTTGTACCATGAGTCCTGATAACCCCTGTAGCTTACTTTCCAGTGTGCTGCCTTCCTGCTGACGTCACATCCCTCCCTTCCCCCCAACTTGGTATGTCAATGACTTCCCATTGCATTAACCTACAATCCTTAACTTACATGTGCACCCACAGAGAGAGGTGAATAAACATTCTTTGTCTGGCAGAAAACTGTTAACTCTTCATGCCTTACATTGAGAGACCAAAGAAGTGTAGTTTATCCAAGAGAAAGTGAGGCAGTGACATGATCAGTCTATAAGTACTGAGATGGCGAAGAGATTTCTGACAGCAGACAGCACTTTAGTTAACATAATGAGAACCCATGGCTCGAAGCAGAAGTTAGACAAATTCAAAGAAGAAATAAGACACATTGTAACAGTGAAAGGAATTAACCGCTGGAACAACTTTCCAACAGTTGTGGTGGATTCTCCATTGCTGTGGCCCCCTGCCCAGAGGCTGGGAGGTACCCCTGACCGCGGGGCTAGGAGCTGGGGGCAGGGTTCCCCATGGCCTGCACCAACTGGGAACTGTGGGTCCCCCACCATCTGCTGGGGCTGGGATCTGTGGGGTCCCTGCTGGCGGCAGCAACTGGGGAACTCTGGGGCTCCCCCGCTGCCTGCAGAGGCTGGGGTTGGTCTGGAGCTGGGGAGGTCCAGGGGATCCCCCCCACCCTGCAGGGCTGGGAGCTGGGTTGGCTCCCCTGCTGCTGCAGCAGCTGGACTGCTGAGAGGCCCCAATGTCACAGAGGTCACGGAAAGTCACGGAATCCGTGACTTCCACGACCTCCATAACATACTCCTAGCCTTAATTATATACCACCAAATCCAGAAGAGGAAGTGGATGAGTCATTTTACAAGCAGGTAACAAGATTAGCTAACACACATAAGCTAGTATGGGGATTTTAACTTCCTTGATATCTGTTGTAAGACTATTGTAGCAAAACATAGTACGTTCTGCAAATTCTTACTGTGTGTAGGGGACAGCTTTATGATTCAGAATGTTGAAGAAACAACTGGGAATCGTCCATTTTGAATCTGGTTTTGATGAACAGGGATGAATGAATTGCAAACATAAAAGCGGTTGGGAGGAAGTGATCACGATCGGATAGAATTCAAGATCCTATGGAAAGGAGAACATGAGAAAACAAGGACACTGCACTTCAAAAAAGTGGATTTCAGCTGACTCAGAGAAAAAGACCAATTAGGAAGAAAAGGAGTTGAAGGGGGCTGGCAGTTCTTAAAAAATGTAATACTAGTGGCTCAACATCAAGCTATTCTGACACAGAGGAAAGATAAGAGCCACAGGAAGCCAATGTGGCTGCACAAGGCGTTTTTCAGCTATCTAAAAACCAAAAGGGATACATACAGGATATGGCAGGAGGGGCATGTCACCAAGGAAGTATACATAGGAATAGCATGAGCATGTAGGGACAAAATCAGGAAAGCCAAGGTGAAGAATGAGTTACAGCTGGCAAAAAAATGTTAGAGACAACAGGAAGAGGTTCTTCAAATATGTCAGACAAAAAAGAAAGATCAGGGACAGTGTTGGTCCGCTGCTCAATGGAGAACTTGAGCTGATAAAAGAAGATGATAGGAAGGCAGAGCTGCTCAATGCCTAATTTGCTTCAGTTGTTTCTCAAAAAATAACATGTGACTGGATGACTAGCAAAGTTGCCATAGACCAGTGGTTCCCAAACTTTAACAACCTGTGAACCCCTTTCACTAAAATGTCAAGTCTCGTGAACCCCCTTCTAAAAATGAATATTTCCAGGGATTTTCTCCTTCACCTGAGTATAAATTATAAAAGCAGTGATCTTGGAAATCTAAAATTTGTTTTTATGACATGCTTATTACACACTATTATTAATTATTATTTATCATTACAGTATTTTTATTACATTATGAAAACGGCAACACTCTTCCAAGATCTCACTTTCGTAGCTTGTATCACTTTGTATAAGCCTGTTATAAGACAAGGCTCCTATGTTTCATCAAGGAGTATCAGATGTGAAAGAGCATGAACATATTTAAGGAGCCAACTCAAAGAGTTCCTCCTACGCAAGCATTCAGGTCTTGAGCTGTCCAGGCAAACAATGCACGTTACAACAAAGCTTAAACTTGTTCTTTGTAATCAATTTAAATACAATACGAGCTGCCTATTTAATTTTAGAAACAACAAAAAATATCCATCTCCCTTTCCATTTCTTATAAGGAGTCTTGAAGTTTAAATCTCCTCAGTGTGATACATATGTTTGCTTTGATCTGCTTAGCTCTTGGAAGTCCAGAGGCTTTGGGCTGCTGGCCCTTATGCTGCCCGGAGTCCCTAGGGACAGCTCTGTCCACCATTAGGGAATTTTTTCCCGAGAACCCCCTGTAACATTTAATGAAC